AGTTTAACTCTGAAATTATTATAGTGTATGTTTTCCTTGCCAAAAAGACTCGCTTTTTTATTATTTATTGCTCTCCTGATGTAAATTTAGCGGACACATCTTCTCTTTTTAACCACCGACATTTTTAAATTCTGCTGAGTTAAACATTCTACTAGGTAGACTAGCCCATTTTTAGAGCTAAAAGTAGACTAGCCCATTTTTTCCGTCGTTCCTATTTGAAAACCCTTAAACGACTCTCTAGTTAGTAGGGAACTGAATAAGCTGTCCAAATATTATCGTAAATTTGAGGAGAATATTGAAAGAGATTCCATTAAATCCAAAAATGGGAAGTCTCTTTGCACATATATTAGGTTGATGCATAAGTCTTTTCGTTTTTTTCGTACTTCTGTTAAAAAGTAACAAATTCACCAATTAATCTATAGTTTGCTCTATAAAAAAAGTGTTTTTTGTTCAATTTCCATCTTTTTAAATCAATTTCGGTTCACTTTCAAGCAAATTCGAGAGTGAAAAACGCCTTTTTCGTAAAAATCTATAAAAACCTCTACGAAGAAATTGGCTGAATCAATTTCTCTGAAATTTTGGCGAAATATCAAACTTTTTTTTCTCTATCTTTTATCTATTGACACGAAGATAGGTTTTCTTTAGCTAAGGTGTCTAAACCGCATCATCGAGTTAGCCCTTTTTGACTACCCGACTTCATACTCTCAAGAAAATCCAGGCATAAAATATTTTTAAACCCGTTTTAATGTTATTTTGCAGAAAAATAATTGGTTTTTCTAATGAAATCAACCGTAGTTTAATTGGTGCATTTGTTGGCTTGAAACGGCAGACGAAAAGGAACGAAAAGACTTATGCATCAACCTAATATTAATTCTAAAACTAAGGACCCAAGCCAAGCTTCAAATTCCTTTCTTGATCCATCCAATTGCTAAATTCTTTCACAGCGTTTGCAATAGCTAGAAACCTAACAAACCCTTTCTGGCTTTTCTACCTAAACAGATCCCACCATAAGCAAAATTTCTTCTTACAGCCAGCAACATCGAAGCTGCTTTCAAAAAGTTGGGGCTCAAAAAATCGCTTAGTCCAGACAAGACTACTGCTTTTGCTCTAAAGAGAGTGTGGAAAATTCTAGTCTATCCTCTTGCCTAAATGCTTTAATAAAATTTTACTTGTCTCTGAGGTTACTTGTCTACTGGAAACAATTTCTTGTGTCATCTCTTCTCAAAAAAAAATCGTCCAAGAACATATTCGCTAATCGCTAATTACCGTCCCATTTCTCTAACCTCCCCTGTGTCAAAAGTTTTTGGAATCATCATAAAAGATAAAATTTCCCCTCATTTTGACAAATAGAACCCTTTTCTCTGACCAACAGTTTGGCTTTTTTAAAAATAAATCCACCATTCTCAACTTATTTTAGCCTATCAAGCTTTACGGTTTAGCATTAATCTACAGTGCTTTTTCAGAGGAACGATTTGTGTTTCGAGGAGATGCAAGATTTCGCCTTCAAAGTCACCCATCGGTTGTCGATTCAATTCCCTCCCTCATTGATGCAATATTTGGATGAGAATTTTCAAAGATCCGTTGGTCTAGAGTGTGCTCATTGTTGACAGACAATTTGTCAGACAAATTTGCATTGACAACTTTTTTGTCAGACAATTGATCCGACAAACTTCCGACAACGCATTTTCTAAAAGGTGCGCTTTTTAAGCAAAGCTATAAAGGCCGCGCGAAAAAAATGTGCAAAATTTCCTTGAATTGTAGTAATGGATAGTTTTATCTAAGGATTTAGGTTTTTAGGGCGTGAAATTTGTTTTTGAATAGCTCTAGTGCAAATGTAGACAATAGGCCTGGTAAATTCGTAAATAATATAATTTTTTAATAGTGTTTCTTAACTTTTTCCGTTTTAAGTATGTTTTCTTTAATTTTACATAGCATTTTAAAATTTTTAAGTTTTAGAGAACTTTTGACATGAGCTGCGACGAAAATCAAATCTTTCGCGCGGTCTCCGACTTCAGGAAATGCGGAGAACGACCATCTTAAGGTATTTTTTTGCTTCTCTTTAGACTTTTTCAACAAATTAAACAAAATTGTTTTAGGGTTGTTGATGTGGACTCTCTTACGCTCGTCGACTTTCAAGAAGACTAGAATGACAAGCAACGCGGCAGCTTTACGAGGACGGTTTTTTTTCTTGCATAGTTTTCGTAATTTTAACAAAATACCGGGGTTAATTTCGCTTTTTTTAGTAAAGAAGAAAAGAAATGGAGGAACCACAATGATTAGCAACAAATTAACAAAGATCAACAACTATAAAAAGGTAAACTTTCTTTATAATTCCATAGATATAAAATCTTCCTCATCACGGGTTTTTGTGATCAGACAGTGATTCAGCCTCCAATGAGCATCCCGCTAGGGCCATTTCCGTTAGGGCTAACTGCTTTTCTTCGTACAAAATAGATGGGGAATTCTTGATGATAATCTTGCTAAATTTTTTTAAAACCCAAACTGCGAAAAATAAGACCTAGCGGAATTTGTGAGGGCCGTAGCGAGGAACAGTCGGCTGTCATCGCCCAGAGTCGGCTGTCAATCTGCTTTTTTGAGAATCAAAGAAGATTCGTGTGACGTTGTCCGCTCCGCATCGATTGAAGTAATCGGTATAAGGAGGTACTTTGATGCAATTTTGTAAAGCTATAATCATACGGGTTTTATATATGTTGTAGGTAAGACCAGGGTACCGTAGGGAACTTGGAGCGATTTTCTTTTTTGGGCTCTCTGTTGTATCTATCATAGGTTGCGTAGGCCTCGGTACTAAAATACCAAGTTTTATAAATACGCCCTAATAATCATTATATCTTTGCTTTGGCTCACCAGCACATTTGTTCCAATCACTTTCGTCTTTGGCCATTGGATTGAATGGTATTTGATGGTCGAGGAATGATGCCTCCTATAATAGGTTTTTGTCAAAAATTAGCTAATTTTTTATGTCAAATATCGAGATTATAACGGAGTCTTTAGCTTGTGAAGCTCAAGAAATTTCGTAGCTAAGGGGGTTGCGTTGTTCTCTAGTTGAATTTCCTCTAAGGTGACTCGGTAGGGAACCGCCAAGACTTCGCAGAACTCAATTATTTTTTTGTTCCTCGTCCTTGTGAATGATAGTTCGGCTTAACTTCACAAGGATCTCGTTGAGAAATTCAAGCTAAGCTTTTTTTTGTTTGACTATAATTAGAAAGTAGAACAAACATTTTTTAGGCTGTTTTTAAGCATATCGAAGGTGGATCCCCAGCGCGTCGCAACGTCTAACTGTGGTCTAGTTGAGGTTGGAAATCTTCGTTTAAATGCTTCTTTTAAATTCTTCTTTTAGAACGATGCTTTTGGATAGAGCCACGACCGCGTTTCTAAGTTTTTCCACCGACTGTGACATGTCTACCTCTTCTTCAAATTTCTTGACTACATTGTGAATGAGGTGAGCAAAGCAATGTATGCTAAAATAAGATAGAGTCACTAATTGCTTTGGCCAATTCAACCGTGGAGTATTCATGTTTATGGCTGCATTTGTGTTGGCTCCAGCACCGTCTGCTACAAAGAATTGAACTTTGTCTGCTAAGCCATAAGACTCGAGAACGCCGCTAACATCTTTAGTGATTACATAAGCCGTGTGTGTGGATTCTAAGCGTTAATATTAGGGACGATTTGAAAAGTTAAACCTTGCAAATTATTTAACGGCAGGATGGCATCTCGCTTCTTGCCATTTGCGTCAAGAAAGTGGGCAAGAGTGATGTTGTAATTCAAAGGATTTCTTTGAGCTGTGTATGCGTCACTTGAAATCGAACATTCCACAATTTCTTTTAGCCTTTCCCTTATTTGGTCTTCGAGTCTACCGATCGTTGAATTTTTTATGGTGTCGATCCTAAACTTTTTTTTTGTAGTAAATAAATTTTTATAAACCTTTTTTGACTAGGCATTTTGATATTTTGCGCATTAAACCATGCTTTCCACCTTTTGCTACGACTAAGCTGGGTAATGAAGATATTAGTTTCGGCCATACCTAGTGTCAAAAGCGTATCGTTTTTCCTAGAAAAGGTGGCCATTTAAAAAATTTATATCACTAACAATGCCATCACATTTGCAGCTGCACCTTCAATCATTTCTACAATGTTGGCTATAGTGTTATCGCGGTGAATTTCTGCCGCTGTCCACTCCAACGGATGCTCTGACTGGCTTAAGGTTTGCAAAAATAAAGTAAATCTACTTTTTGATGATGTTTCATGGCGTAGAGGGCGCCAATGGCATAGTTTGCAATTGCGTTTCTGGGGCATAAATTGCATTGTGCTCGAGTCTCTTTACTGCTCACATCCATATACTTTGACATAAAATCCCCGGCTAGTGAGGACATTTTAGATTTACGCGAAGGAGTTGCGGAATTCTTTAAAATGATTTATAAGCGTAAAGGCAACTATCACTAGAATTTACCCTATTACTAGGGGAAGCATCCATTTTCTCTCACAATCACACGGTTTTCTACGCAGTACTCTAAATAGTAGGAATTACCAATTTAACCTGTTTGAAAAAGAGAAAAAAATAAAAAGTTAAGGAAAGGGTAATAGAAAAAAAAGCGCAAGATTTTAATGTACATTTTGAAACATTTGCTGATGCAAAATTTTGTAATAAAGTGTACAGTTTCAGAGTTTCTATAGTTTCAGAGAAGCAAAGTTTATACACGCATTTATATCAGCAAAGTATTTCGGTAAGAAAACTTGAGTACACTAGATTGATCGTGTTTCTATATTTTTTAAAATAAAAGAATGGTGGTTATATTGAAACGCTACCGTTAAGAATACGAAATGAAATAATTTTAACAACAAGAAGGCCCAAAATTGTGATAAGTTCAGCTGAAAAGTTTACAATAACAGCAAAAAGTGAATCAAATAAAATCCAAGTAAAGACATTGTAAAAGTACAGACTTAAAGCATAGCTTAAAACAACTTCTGAAGACAATTTCTTTAATACATCCATCCCCAGACTCTCCGAATGAATCCTTTTTCTCTTTCAGCTCTTTCTCTTTCTCTTTCTTTCTGTTCAGCAGCCGCTTTTTCTTGTCGTTTTTTTGTCTCCTCTACTCGATCGTTGACTTCTTTGCGAACCTGGAATTGAATGGAATAGACATGGGCACTACAAACTGTAAACGTAAACTAAAAACGCTTCTAACTTGCTATCAAGTCTGCCCGATTGAGACGATCTATAGCTTAAAAAAGTAGAGATTCTCAAGAGCTTTCGAATGAACTAAAGGACTCTCAAAAATATCAACGCAAAGCTACAGTGGTTTGTAGTCTGGCTCAATCGTTTCGACTACGCGGGAGTACGGTTCGTTTCGAGTTAGGACTATAAACCACTGTAACTTTCTTTAGCGTTGATATTTTTGAGAGTCCTTTAGTTCATTCAAAAGCTCTCGAGAATCTCTATTTTTTAAGCTATAGATCGTCTCAATCGGGCAAATTTGATGCAAGTTAAAAGCGCTTTTAGTGTGTTATTTTTTTTAGCTTAGTGCCATCTCTATAGTAGGCCATCAATCCAAGGCTTCTCCTCGGAATCTGGCCAAGAATGGGATTCAGATCAATCCGGTAGATTTGAAGCAAGTTAAAAGCGTTTGTAGTGTGACAGTTTGTCACTTTCGTAGAATGTCGGTGTCTAGAATGAGAAACTTCTTTACTAATGAATATGCCCTTTTTCAAAAGCTACCGTAATCTTGCCGCTAATAGTAAGTACCGTAATCCAATCTGTCTACCTTCAGCTAGACTTTCAGCATTCATACCTCCACAAAAAACAGTCAAAACTTGAATAAAACTGGATACGGTGGCTGTCTGCTGTATGCAATGTAAACTGTAGCTGTCTACTGTATATTATTGTATACTGTATACAATTGTGTCATATGTTTTTGCATCAATTTGTGCCTGACTAGGGAAAGACACAAACTTAAGATGACTCCCAGTGCACTGTGTGACGACTTTTGTCTGAACACTCAGTGCACTTTACAGAATCGGAGCTGAGGAAATCGAATCTAAAATCGAAATCTGCCAAATGACTTTCCTCAAGCAAAATCCTAGAAGTTGCTAGAAGAAAAACAAAAACGACAAGCACTATCCACTGGGCCACCAGCTTACCCTTTCTACGCTAGGAAAGAGCGGTTTAAAGCAAAGCCTTAAAGCATTTAAAAGACTCTACCCTCTCGGCTTCTCGTTCCTTTCGATCCTCTTCGCGGTTTCTTTCTTTTCTCTCGTTGTCAGCTCTTTGTTGCTACAATTACATTCAATTTATTGATGCAAATTTACATATAAATGCTTTTTCTAATCATTGCTAACCCAGATTCTCACCTCCATCCGAATCCTCGCCTCATTCACTTCTTTCTCGATTCGATTCGCCTCTTCTTGTGCTTCTCTCATTTCTTTTCGTTGTCGCTCTTCACGCGCGTTTTCAAGTTGTCTGAAAGCGTTTAATAAAAGCGTTTCATTTGTTTAAATCAAGTTTTAATTGAATTTTTTGAAAATCACGTACTGCTGCGTCTGTTCATTCATTTGTTTCAACAGCAAGAATATTGGATTCAAATCGCTGCCCTTCTCAGCTGCCTCTCGTTTGCGTTTTTCGTCATCTGAAAGAAAACTTCTAATCAAATTTAACACATTACGGTACTGTAGAAGAAGGTGCACTGGCTACAGTAGGACATTCTAAAGAGTGACCTAGTCTACCGTACTCATTTCTCTGTCTACTGTACCACCAAGTTTTCGTCGAAATCCCCACCCAATTGTTGCTTTGTATCGGTGAGTTGTTCTTGGATTCTCCCCTGTTGCGCTTGCAATTTTTTCTGTGCTTCGTTTTGTCGATGTCTCATATCGATCATCTTGTTCTTCAGCCTTTCCATGTTGAAATGCGCACGAACCTCGGACTCAAAGTAGTCCTCGCATCGCTAAAACTGACATTTAACACTCTACAATCAATCTTTACCTTAAACAGCGCTCCCTTCGCATCCTTGAAGTTGTCAATCATTTGACGGAGCATGTTCAAATCAATTTTCGGCATTAGTTGGGAAATGTCGATGATGAATTGAGCCTGAAATGTAATAGTCTAGTTATAGGCTAGACATGAGCACTACAAGCTACAAACCTAGCCACAAAATCTGTCGGTAACTATAAACGTAAACTAAAAACGCTTCTAACTTGCTATAAATCTGTCGAATTGAGATGATCTATAGATTAAAAAATAGAGAATCCCAAGAGCTTTTAAATGAACAAAAGCACTCTCAAAAATAGCAACGCTAAAAAAGTTACAGTAGTTTATAGTTCTGGCTCGAAACGAGCTTTGATCTTGCCTACCCTAATTCAAGACCAGCTTTACTACTGGAATCTCAGGCTCTAGCCAAGCCTTGACTGATCCAAAAGGTAACTGAAGTCCAGAAAATGTCAGGAGCAAAGCCAGCAAGGCTACCAATTCCTGCAGTTTACCTTGTTTGCTTCAAAATTTGTATTCAAAGCGTTCATCCCGCGTTCGATAAACATTCCGATTTCGTCTAATTTTTTGACCGATGTAACTTGCTGAAATTGGGTGAATTAGGTTGCCAGAAGGTGTGCGTTTACAAAAGCAAAAAGCTAGCTACCTCCTTCAAATGTTTTCCGTAATTGTCTGCAAGCGTGTTGATCATTGAATCCAAAGATGCGTTGACTTGAACGACGAGGTTGTCACTTTGGAGATCCTCGAAACGAGTCTGAATTCATGACTTGAAATCAGTTTAAAAGTACGATCACCAGTAAACATTTATGAGTTTACAAGTCCTAAGATTTCTGCATCAACTTCTAAACCCACCAAAATCATCTTAGTGAGAAGATTTCTCTTAGACTCGATCAAATCCACCTCATCGTTGAAAGGCTCAACAGCTGAAAAAAGCCGGATAATTGTTTGGAAAAGAAACTAAAGTGTAATTTGTGATCAAATCTGCAAACACCCCATGTCTGGTGCACTAAAACTGAGAACCTTTAACGAACAACGAGTTAGTAAGCCAGAAAAGGTGTGTTTCCACTACAAAGTACTCCTCAATTTGGCCAACTTCCTGGTCAATTTTCAATACTTAAACACCAATAACTGCTATAATTGGAAATCAGATGTGTACTTTGTGCTTAAATCGTTAAAGACAGCCTTCCTGGTGCACTGATCCTTTCTTAAAGCAAGTTATTTCGATAAGAAGAAAACAAGAGCGCTAGATTGGTGGTGTTTCCCTATTTTTTTGAGAAAAAGTGCACTTAAATCTTTAAATCTAAATCTAAATCATAAATCTAAAGCTATAAATCTTAAATTTAAAGCTTAAATCTAAGTCTATAAACTTAAGAATGACAAACCATTTTCGAAAAGTGACATTGCCTCAGGAAAGGCTTTCTCGTGTCGAGCTTTCACTTGTTCAACGGTAGCTTTTCCGAGAAGGGAATCCCCGAAGTCTGGCTGAATATCAAAGCTTGGAAAATACTAAATTTCAAGAAAAGACAAATTCATTTCCATACCTTCATCCCTTTCTCGTACAACTCTGAGCTTTGCTGCACCGCATCGGCCATCAAAAAGTCGCGGAAACGGCTCCGATTGCTAAGCAGCTTCTCTTGGCATTTTGCCTAAAACAAAAGCTAACAATCAGAGATACTATCTAGTTAATTAATATCCAATAATAATATAAGTTAAATGATATTCAGTCAACTAATATTGAAGGCTTAAAATCATATACACCCATCTCATCTAAGATTATTATTTTGCATCAGCTCAGCTTTACTTTACTTGATTTATAGCTCTGGAGACAGTTAATCCAAAGTTATTTAAAGATTCAATAGTGTTATTTCTAAAGCTGACAATAATATTAGGAAAATATTTGATAATTCTTTACTTATAAAATTCTTTACTAAATTCCAATACCAATTCCATTCCACTCACCTCCAAAGACTCCTTCATCGCCAAGAAAGTTTTCTCTTTAACTTCTTGAGTCCCAAAGAGTGGTTTTGAGCTGTATTCCTGAAAATATTAATGAATATATTTCTGGTTTTAAGCTCTATTCTTGTCTAAATCTTTAGATCAAATTTTTCTCTTTTTTTATGCTGCTTTTTTTACCTGAAGTGCTTCATCGACGAATTTCTTGAGTGTCTTCTCGTACACTTTTGGATTTATCGGCTGATGCCCTGACTCGCGCATCAGCTAGACAAGTTATCAGATATTTGGTAGTATAAAGATTACTGTAAAGGCAATCAATATAGGGATTACTGTAATGACAAGGCTTAGATTACGGTACGTTTTAAGGCATGAATCGGTGGCGTTTGAAAAAGTTCGTAAGCCTGAAAAAGCTTGAAGTTACCTGATCGTGTGCTGCCGCGAAGTACTCAGCTGCGGCTGCTTTGGCTTTTTCGAAGAAGAGCTCGGAAGTAGCCTATAGATGATTTGAATTGACTATGATAATGACATAAAACCTAACTGATGACTTGGAGCTAATCAAAGTTAGAGAAACTCACCTGGAAAGCTGATCCGATTGCCTTGTGATTGTTCTCTTTGATGTGATCGACGAGGTTCTAAAAAAGCTAGTAGATAATCAAGCTTTAAACTATTCTGTAAAATAGAAACTTCGCCAACCTCAACGTATCGCTTCAACGTGTTCCCTGTGAGATGATTTCCCATGAACGTCTTTGGGACCAAATTCTCGAGCACGTGATTTGCGCATTCGCAGAGATCTCCCAGGAATCGATCACCGCAATCTGTAATCGTTTGTTGAGAACTACCGTAACCCTAGCCCTTTTGTCTCTGGATCGGCTACCGTAACCCTAGCCGTTGTTTAAAATTTATTCGATACCTTGAGCTCTAATCTCCCCACTCGCACTCAGCACATGCTCACTCGGGGTTTTCGCCATGAAACACTCGACTTTTTCGAAAGCCGAAAAGATCCCCTCAAGTAGCTTTTTCAATTCAGGAGCTCGTCTCGTTTGAGCCTATAAAACTTTAGATTTCTTTTCAAACTTCCTGAAATTTGAAGCTCGACCCACCTGAAGAGTCTCAATGTATGATGGTTGAAAGCCGGATTCGAGTGCGTCTCGGATCATGATGATGAAGTGCTGGAAGATTGTTGATAAAGATTAGCAGACCAGAACCGGGCCAGGGTCGGCTTTAGAGCTTTTAGAGTCAACTCGACCTGAGCTAAGCTAAGAACTAATAGTAAGCTGAAGGTCATAGTAAACTAGAACTGGACTGGATCAATGGGCAAGTTCGGGCAAGGGTAGGGTCTAGCTAGGCCAGACCAGGCTAGTGACAAGCTATCTTAAGGTCAAGCCAGTCCAGGTCATATCTAGCTGCTAGGCCTTATTGGGAATGAAATTTCTATATTTGAAAATAGCAGCTGATTTTTAGATTCGAAATTTACCTGTCCCGCCCTTTCATCGGTCCTTTGGCTGAAGGCAAGGAAAAGATTCAGCGAATCTAGATCCTGGGCGTCGATTTGCGTTCGAACATTGAAAATCTTTAAACTTCTTTGGAACTGAAACCTAAAAACCAGTTCTACTTTGATGGAAGACATGAGGAGTGAGATCGAAAAGATAATCGCCGAATCGATCATGTCACTCGTCGTGTCAAATGTGCCTTGAGTGTCCATGAGGATGACGGCCAGCTAGGATGTCGATGATATCAGATTTTAAATGGAAATTATCTATATTTACCTCCTTTCCTTCTTTATCTTTTCTGATGAAAACCTTTGGCCAAACCATGATCCCCTTTGTGTGCCGAATGTATCCAGATTGAAAACGGATACCGTCATGACCACTAAGACAAAAATTTACATATAACTAATGTCTCGTTAATGAATTTGATTGTATAATTTTACCTAGACAGCCTCAAGCACTGTACTTATTTGGGTACAAAACTACACTAGCTAACCGTATGCTATTGTAGCTGGAGGATACTGTAACTAAAGGATACTGAAGTTAAAGGATACTTTAACAGAAGTATATAGTAGCTAAGGGATACTGTAACTAAAGGATACTGTAGCTAAAGGATACTGTAACAGAGTACAGTATCTAGCTAAGCATGTAGCTAGTTCTAAATCTAATACCCAATATAGTCAGTCGGTTTAAAATCGGCTTTTCCTTGTTGAAGCCCTTTCAACAAAACATTGTTCCAAAAGGTTTTCCCTTGTCGAAATTTTCCGGCTGTTGAAATGATGGAAACCTGAAAAGTTTTATATTTTGAATTAGTTTGGAAAGTATCTAGGTTTTCAAAAGCATCTAGTTTTCACATTTTCATTTTCAAGAACCAACCGGTCTATCACCGATCTGATCACAGAGATCGTCGAGGACTTCTTTCTTGAAGATGGTTTCCCCGTCTTCAGTGATATCGAATAATTGAACGAGATTCGTTTCTGCCTGAACTTTTGCCTGAACTTATTTATATTCAAAATTGTGTGTCATTTATCAATTGTAAGATTACCTCAATATTTGGCTTCTTGTCATCTCCCGGATTTGGCTGTGGATCTTCGTTTCCTTCGGCTGATGTCTCCTGAAAGCAAGGCTGAATGTACTTTGTGCTTTAAACGTAAAGACATCGTGTCTAGCATACTAAATTCTTTATTTAACATTCTTTAGTAGGTTCTTTGTAAAGATACTTTGCGCTCCATTATAGTAGATTCAGTAAATGCTCAACTTTTAGGCAAATCAAATCAAACCAATCAAATCCAAGGTCAAACCAATAACTAAAGCTTTTTAAAAAAATTTTTCTAAAGACTTTTATCTAATAGAAGTTTATCTAATCTATCTAAAGCTTAAAACTTACCGTAGCCGTGTCATCGAGTACTTGAACCCTTTCTTCAATCAATTCCACACTTGATCCCTCCAATTGTTGCTGTTGCTTGATCTTCAATCGGTGCATTTCCTCAAGAATTTGTGGATTCAAATCGGTGGACCTCTGGAATTAGGAATTAGATGAATTTTTTAAAAACCTTTTCATTTCCGATAAAGCAAACCTTTCTCTGCAGCAAATAGTTCACTTTTTTCAGCGCCTTGTTCACGTTGTCGAGTTTCCCGACGGCTGAGAAGAGATCCTAGACAAATTTCAATACTAATTTTACGAAAATGTAAAATAAAATCGGTAATCAAGATCTCTATTCAAACATTTTTTGTTTCGTATCCTTGCAAAACGTATTTTCCTTGCGAAAAATATCGTTTTGGGGAAATGATAAGCGTTTTATGATCTTAATCTTTTCCAATTCCATTTCTCATATGTTTACTAGATCACAAGTTTGTTGAGGAATTGAAAGCACTGAAAAAGAGAGCAAAAATCGATACCTCTTGCGCTTGATAGCGGCAGGCTTCTCTCGTTTCCTCACTTTCGTTAGGGAAATGGTCGATCACCTAAACAAAATGATCAAGAAATTACTTTTCATTTAAAAACTTGAATTCTATACTTTCTTCATAGCTTTTTATAGACTACACTTGGAAAAGTGTTATATAAGCAAGCAAAAATACTGTAGCGGGACTCGAACCCACTCGCCGGTATTAGAGCAGTTTACCAATTGGCCACGGCTGCTAAGACAGCCCGACTTGAGTTAACCTCTTAAAGGGAGCCCTACAACGGCTCTTTATACTTGATCAATTATTCAATTCGATTGTCTACTGTAAGCTGTAATAAAATAAAGAAATGAATGGCAAAGAATTTTAAACCGAGGGGACTTGAACCCTCCACCTTTTGTTTACCGGGCAGATGCTCTACCACTGAGCTATCCAGCGTCTGCTTATCAGAGAAGAAAGAGGAAATACATGGGGAAAAGAGAAAGAGAAAAAAGAGATAAAAATACTCGACTCTGCACAATCTTGGGCAGAAAACGGGCATTAGTAATCAGTAAGGAATGGCAAAGAAAGAGTTAAGTAAGTTACAGTACTCTTTCAGTTCATTTATAAAGATTTCGATTTAAGCCTTTAACTCACTTTCAATTGATCCAAGTAATTCCCAAAGATCAAATCCACGTCATCGGTTATCGGTACTTCTCTCTCGACGCCATTTTCCACTTCCCATTCGCTGCTCGAGCTCTCGGATTGGCTTCGAGTTCGAGGCATTCTAGAAAAAAGCTTTAAAACATTAAAACATTAAAAATATCAAAGTGTAAATCTTGAGATATGAGTGTTCTATCTATCAAAGTAAAGATTACGGTAGCTATTGTAGGAATTGGATACGGTAGGGCAAACTAGGCTAAGCAGGGCAAGCTTTTGTAGATATCATAGAAAATTCTAGCTTACCCAATCTAGTTTACCGTATAGAAAGTCAACTGCAGTACAGTAATCAAGGTTTAAGAACGAAGATATTTAGCTTAAAATTTAAAGCCAGTAAAGATACTATAACTTGAAAAGGATGAAAATAAATTTTAAACGTGTCTAGCCTCACACAGATAGCAAATTCTATGGCAACAGGAAAATCGCTTTGTGCCGAGCATTCAAAAACTTGCGACATTAAAAGACTCACAAATTGGACTGTAATCGGCAGGTGTACTTTGTACTCGAAAAGTTTTGAAACACGCTCCTTCTAGCTCACTTAATGCTGTATTTCCGGGTGAATGTCAAGAGAAAGTGGGGAATCAAGTGCACCAGAAAGGGAGCTTAAAAAGGAGCTCAAGGTACGAACAAATGGAACTAGATGATTGAGGAAAGTTGAATTGGACAAAAGCAACTAAATCAAGTGTGCCAGAAAGGGTACTTTTAGACATTTACACAAAGTAAATCCGAAGAATCAACTGATGCTACAGAAAAATGTTCAGATTTTTGTTTTTGATGAAATTTTCCCCAAATACCCTTGCATCACCCAAAATTTTTCTTCAGCAACCAAATTTTTATCTTTTTTATTGCTGAGCTGGGCTGGGCTGGAAAAATAGCCGACGAAAAATGTGTTGCAAGAAAATTTTCTGAAGAAAGTTGAATGGAAAATTGATTTGAAAAAGATCAACAATAGTTTAAATTAATATTTTTTGTTTGTAAATTTTAAATTTTATTGAAATATCGATTTCTTTCTTAAAAAGAGCCATTTTTGGGCTTCTTTTCTTTTGTGATTTCTATTGCACAAGAAAACTACGCTTTTTCCTTTTTTTTCTCAATCGATGACCTTGAACTGGGTTTAAATCCTATTTTTTTATGTGAAAAAGTTTCAAATTTGATTTTAATTTGCTATTAATTAATTAATTTATCTATTTATCTATTTATCTATTATTTAATAATTTTATTTGGTTTATTATCTAATTTTTCTATTATCTAACAGATAAATTTGGGCTCTTGTATAGTTTTCGAGTATTTTGAATGAGTCGTCTGACTTTGAACGCCTATAACTTTATCCCGAGACAATATTATTGCTAAACTTTTATATCATTTTAAAGAAGACATTTCAGGCTTTTAAATGATACCAAAGAGAGCTTGACTAGATTTTTCATTCCCATGCAAACAGGCGACACGACAACGGAGTCGGATAGGCCTCATTTGCTCAGAGTTGGCTACGATTTCTTTGGACTGGATTATCAAATCAAACTCTATTTGGTATCATTTAAAAGCCTGAAATGTCCTCTGTACAATGATATAAAAAGCTAGCCATAAAATTATCTCTGGATAAAGTTATAGGCGTTCAAAGCCAGACGACCCGTTCAAAATACCCGGAAACTACACAAGAGTAGTTAGAACCTAAATTTGTACTTAGAACTTTTCAGTTACATTAAACTTTAAACACACCCTTTCTAGCGCACCACGGTAAATTCAGTGCGCCAGAAAGGGTATGCTTAGGGATTGTTCGAGCAGAAAGTACAATACAATTAAAGCCTTTACTTTCAGTTAAAATAGTTTGACTTTCACTGCTTCTGGTGTACTTTGTGCTCAACAAAATGTAAACACACACTTTCTAGTGCACTGAGCTCTTTAATTCACTTTGCATTGAGCTTTAAGATGCTAAACTCAAGAATAAGACAAATTCCAGAATTCAATGTGAAAAATGGACACCAAAAGGTCACAAAATGGACACAAAAAGACTTCAACTCGTTTCCACTTTGCCCCAGCAAGTTTATTGGACCTTAAATCGAATAAATAATAAAATTAGAATAGAATTTAATGAATTCAATTCAATGAATAGAATAAAATGAATAGAATTCGATTTCTAGATGAAAGAAAACGAGCTGAAACCCTTGGTGACTTTCAAAAACAATCGAATTCAATTCAACGAGATTATTGCTCGGGAGACTTTCGCCAATGAGAAATTCAGTGATAAAAAGGTTAGAATTGACTTTTTCAGTGTTTTAAGAAGGTAAAAGAAATCATTAAAAGAAATCATTGAAAAGAAAAAGAAAATGGAAAGCCGGGGAAGGGATCGAACCCAAGCAAAGACTTGATAGTCGGTCTTGAAAGGAGAGCCTTATCCAGTACACCACAGGCCCATATTTAGACGCGGTGAAGCGTTATACAGAGAAAAAAAAAGCCATTTTTGAGCTCTGGCAGGTCCTGGTCTAGCATCTAGCTTTGACTAGCCTGGCCTAAGTGTAGACGCAAGGTTCCTCCGGCTCTGGCTACCGCCAGAACCCAGGCTTCGACTTCCTATTAGCTTCTTCTAGTTCTAAGACACAGTTGCACCATTCCTAGTTATAACTCTAAGGTCAACTTGCTTCAGATCACTCTCGTCAGCGTAATGGGACCATCGCGATCCGGCAAAAGCTTTCTGATGTCAATTTTGACTGGTGGGCGACAAGGAAACACAGTCAGGTCAGCTTTTAGAGCAATTCACAGACGTTTTCTTTATTTCCTAAAAATGTACCGACTTTCTCGACTACCGTAATATAGTTTAGCCAGTTCATCTTCTTTTTTCATCTTTTCATATCCTTTGTGTGAAACCGCAGAATTCGTCTAAAAGTAGAGAGATTGATTTAAAACTAGAGACAAGATTACGAGAATTAGCTGGATACAATCTACAAGAGTTATCTACAAGTTAAGATGTTTTCTTGTGACTCTTACTCTTAATGACTCTTCTTGTGACTTTGTCTAATGTATTTGCATTTAAACTTCCACAGTTTCCTCAGCAACTTTGCATTTAAACTTCCCCACTTTGCCTTGCATAATTTTCGTCCAAAAGAAGTAATTTCCGTTTAATTTTATGATCTTATCACAAAGAATAAATGAGTCTAACTCGTAAGGATGTAGTGATATGATAATAGTATGATAAATCAGTTAAGAGATCAAAAATGAGTGGCCTAAGAGTCATGGGTCACAAGTTCGCCATAGCATACTTATGACTCTTACGACACTCATTCTTAAATGCAAATTAATTTTCAATGCAAAGTGAGCAGCGTAAGAGTCACGCAAATACCAGTTAAGCGCAATTTTTGACTTATAGAGGAGCCTTCAAGACCGGGTATGAGCGGTGCACGGAGGGGATTCTCGTTTTCACTCAACCGATGATTTCTGAAGATGTGAGTGAGACTTAGATTTAGAGTAAATCAAAGTATGAATTGTGGATTTATTGATTTGTGGATTGTGCTTTTGCAGAACTTTTGAACTTTCGACTCTGTAAACTTTCAAATAAAACGCAAGATTTCTTTGTTTACCACTTTTCAGTGATGAGTGAACGTCAAGGAGTGATAAGAGTGAACCAAGAAATTCGTTCAGAAATAAAATTCTGGCGTTGAATTGATTTCTGAGCCAAGGAAATGGAAAAAGAGAGAAATTGTGACGATAAAATTATATAAATTTCAGGGAAATCATGTGGTTTTCTTTTTGGATACTCAAGGGACATTTGATCTACAAACGGAGAGGAATATCTCCTCGTGGATTGCTTGTTTCAGTCTGTTGATCTCAGATATCCAGGTATGCAATTGACCAGACCAGGCCAGGTCAAACCCTTGGTACTGATTGTAAGCCAGGGATTAGAAGAAGGCAGGATCAAGTCAGGATTAGACTAACCAGGCTCATGATAATAACTGTAAGCCATGCTAGGACTCGACCAGGTTAGAGGCAGGCTAAGGCCGGTCCAAAACCAGAACATGCCTTGGCTTAGGCTTAGGCTTAGGTTAGGCCAAACCTAGATAGGACTCAAAGCAGTTCAATAGACGAGGCTAGGATAAGCCAGGATAGGATAAGCCAGGCTATGATAGGCCAGGCTAGAATCAAACAATGACTGGCCAAGTTTAATCCCGTCAGCATTAAACCAAGTCAAAGTTGTGGTTCATAATCTCTTACACTTTTCAGCTCGTGAACTTAAAAGGAAACATCGGCGGTGACAACCTTCACGATTTGCATTTGTTTATCGAAACGGCTGGAGCTTGTCCAAAGACTGAACTAGCAAAAGTATCTATATAAACATCGCTGTACCTGGCTTTTTAGAGTTTAACTTTTGTGATCAGAGATGCGCCAAAATGGCCGGAGAATGGTTTTCTCGAGAATCTTTGGGTGAGTGATCGTGAATATTCTCGAATCCAGAGATTTAGTCAGAATGCAAAAAATCGAGGGATCTTAAAGAGATCTCTGAATCGCTGCAGAAACGTTTCGAGAATGGAATCCACTGTTTTTGTTGCGCGACCGCATCAGATGAGATTCAGCGGGCAACGGGGACGATTGAGTTGACGGATGAGGGTGAGTAGCTGCAGGCTGTTATTTCTTGCCATATTATTTGTATTTAAATTGATTATAGACTGTACAGAGCTACAGGCTAGATTACTTTCTATTTCTATAATTAGAATAACTATCTATAAGTAGGTATTGCTAAAAATGAGTGTATTTAGATCAAAATTTCATTGGTTGTCTCGATAGAGTTGTTGACTTTGTTCAAAAGAATGCTCACCAATGTTACCGCAAACATTTCGACTACAGTGAAGCGGTAAAGGTATGGCAAATTTTGATCTTTAAAAAGTTATCTATTAGAAAAGTTAGGAGAAATCAAATGAACTCAATAGTTTCAGCGAATCGTTCATTACCTTGAAAATGAGGCGCCAAGACTCGAATCGACCGTAAAGGTTAGAAAAGTTTACTTTTACTGAAATAAATATTCAGTTTTATAGTTTATAGTAGTTTTATAAATCTTTTAAACTTTTTAAAGTTTAGGA